ATCTAACTAAAGCACAAACGATGGTACGACAAACTGAGTGCCATCTCAGGGGCGATTTTTCAAAATGTAGGCTGGTATTACCTTTCAAACAACTTTTACATTCAAATACCTACATTTGAATGTTGGATGTGAAGTTCAAAAGTAAATCAATTAACACGTCAGCGCCAGCTATAGACGTTCTGTCGGGACAAAGCGACCCTTCGGCCGATTCTTTTCGTCGCCTCAATTTAATTGGCGCAAAACTTGTGGTTGTGAACAGCTTAAATAATACAGCCAGTCTTTAGGAAATGAGCCACCAACGTGAGCGCGAAAAACTTTACATCGAATTCTGTTAATACGCAAACCTTTCTGCGACATTCTGTATAGGTACTGCGACGACTTTACTGCGAACGATGATACTGCGAAGCCTTTTTTTAATCGACTTAACAGATACAATAATTAAATAACGTAAAATACCTTTAGCCACATGAGTTTCAACAACGATTTCGTACTTTAGATGACCTCTGAAGCTTAAATGATTTCAGATAGATTGATCTTAAAATTTATTAGAGCAGTCCATGTTACAGACTAGTAACGTAAAAAAATAATGTTTTGCAGTTTCTTTACTTTTACTCTTTTTTAGTGAATATCACGTACCAGTGCCTTGTTTATATGTCTTCTTTTCATTAAAACTGTTAATTTTCTCAATACTTTATTCTTTTCCTCTTTCATTTATGCAAAAATTTTATATTTAAACTGGCTTTTGTATTTGGGCTGTGCCATGTCTCTGCTGGGATATTGAAACTGCGGAAAAAGGCGGTGATATCGGCTTTGTGTGGTCGTTGGGTATGTTTTGTGCCGTTATTCGTGACTTGTATGTGTTTGTATGGATATTTTTGGCTCTGTAAAGCGTTATTTGTATAGTTTATGGAACAATGTTAAATAATATTATAGGTACGACTGCTTTTACGTGTACATATAGGTACCTTGTAAAATAACGCGGTCTACTAATTAGATAATTAGATATTGACTCTTTATATACAGAGAGTATGTGTATTTCTCGGTTCTGGTTTTTCTTCAAAATGTAGCGACTTGTAAATAATTTTTGATATGGTATTCCCAGTTTAGTTTGCAATATAGTCCGAAAGAAATAATAAGGTAAATTCTACGCTTCGTAGAGTACCCTAATAAAAAAATCATTCGTTTTCAACCATACCTTCACAGCATAAAGTTCAAATTTATTTGGGCTCTATGGCCAATTGGCCATCAGAGCCTACTTAAGGGTTAACTGTTTCTGATTGAGCCATATAAGACGAATCGGCTCTTAAAATTCTAATGTCAGTGTCTACATAGGCGAAGAAGAATCATCATCATCATCATCATTTCAGCCATAAGACGTCCACTGCTGAACATAGGCCTCCCCCAATGATTTCCATAATGGCCGGCTGGTGGCAGCCTGCATCCAGCGCCTTCCCGCTAAGTTTATGAAAATAATCGTGATAAAAAGGAAAGTTAAAATATTTCTTTAGTTAACCCTAGAACGTTACCTTTAAAGTAAAAAGCAGTAATTTTGTGTGTAGTGATAAAGTTTACATCCAACNAATTCCACGCGGGCGAAGCCGCGGGCGGAAAGCTAGTATTGATTAAATTGAACATTCACAACTCAAAGTAACACTTGTTAGCACTTTCGTAGTATTCGTACGACTGAGCTCGTTCCGAGTCGAATGGCTGGTTATATCCTCTCCGGTAGTACAAGTCAAATCAGCAACTATTATTTAACCGGATATCAAGTAAAATGTTTAAATATACCGGAAGTGTAATAATAAATTGTCACACAAGTCAAATCAGCAACTATTACAACTTAACCAGATATCAGATAAATGTTGAAATATACCGGAAATGGATTAATAAATTGTTACAGTCGGCCATCCGATTCAAAACGAGTCCCTTCGTTTAAGAATTATATCATCACCGTCGTGGCAGAATTAAATAACTGACACTTTTGGCAAAAACCACTTTTTCCACTTTTTGTATAGTAGAAAGTGTTACCTATATTTTGGTCTTACTCTCGTGGCAATATCTATGATATTTCCAAAGATATCTTCAGTTTAGTGAAACTATTGACCATAAATCATAACTCCGTTTGTTGTAGAATTTACGTGGCAAAACTGAATAAGTGACTTTATTTAATTCTGCCACAACTCACTGCGAAATATTGCTTCAAAATACTTGTACTAAGAAAGTCAATAAGTGACTTTATTTAATTTTGCCACAACTCGATCCGATCAAAATACTCGTACAATAGGCTTGTATCTGTCGCAGGCAAATTGTATGATTCCGCATTTTACAAACGGCGTCGTCAGTTTACAAACGCTCGCTGTTCTATGAAATGTCGAAGGCAAATTGGCGAATCGTTCAATTGATAAAATTTCGACTATGATTGTTGCAATAGGGTGACCATCATAAAACACATGTTGGACAAATCAGACTTAATTTCAGAAATCAGGTAGGTATCTATTCAGGTAAGACAAACCTAAAATACTAGCTACTCCTAAAGTAATAAAATATTTTCGTAATAAAAACAACACTAAACTAATTTAAACTATTGACGTACCTACCTATAGGTAGGTACATAAAACTATGACATAAAATAAGTTTCGATAGTCAGTCCCTTAATTAAGTCTTACATTTTAATTACTTAAAGGCACTGGGNTTGTTACATAAAGTAATCTGTTTCATGTTATACATACCTACATTATGTAGTAAATTTTGGGCATGTTTTGAAGAATCATCTATAGAGCAACCTACTGAAGAGCACCCCAAGAATGCCACTGCTGAAGAAATCGCCCACTACATCGCATTAGCAGAGGCTGACAGAAAAATAAACCCATATGAATGGTGGACTTTGAGTACCAATATGAATAGATTTCCTATATTTAAGTAAGCTTGCTAAATGATACTTAATCACACCAGCAAGCTCTGTTTTTTCAGAAAGACTATTTTCCGAAGCAGGTTTAATTTACGAGGAAAAACGAAAGCGACTTGCTCCCGAACGTGCAGAAAAAAATGATTTTTTGCGCCACAATCTGCCTCTGTTGGATTTTAAATATAAATTAAAAAGCCTTACTAATTTAATTTCATGAATATTATAGGCACAGGTACATATTACAAATAATAATTGATATTGTGTATTGTTTTATTAGGGAAAATAATTAAAATATGATTATTTTTAACTCATTAGTTTTTTTGTTCACTAAAAGTTTATTTTAGACGACTATTCGCCGAATGCCGAATAATACTAGCTATTATTCGGTATTCGACGAATATCAAAAGAATGTCGAGTAATGCCGAATACCGAATAATAGCGAGTATTCGCGGCAACTGTAGTACATACCTCCACAAAATTACAGCTATCTAGTGCCAATAGTTTCCAAGCAAAACCTCCGACAGACAGACAGACAGACATATCGAAACTATAAGGGTTCCTTGTCAGGACTACGGAACCCTAAAAAGAGTCATAAGTTAATCATGTTCATGTTTTGTTAGTTAGTAGGTACGTATTTATAAAGCTAGACAGAGTTCAATTCATAATGTGCGTGTTATTATAAACAATTTGTATTGTGGATGCTACCGGTAAAACCCACAATAATTAACAGTTCAAAGTTGGCAGTTTATCAGTACATTTTCATTGGTCGGTGACTCGGCCGAGGCGAGAAACTTACATACCTACCAACTACTTGAGTATGTAGGTAATTGTAGCTAGCTGGTCTGTCTGGCGGTCCAATTTTCTGTGTAACGACCTAACAGCCTCGCTGTTTGCTAACCTAAGTAGGTAATTTGATGAATTGAGGATGAAGGGAAGCGATCTACGATGTCAGCCTGATGCGGTCCACTGCTGGACAAAGGCCTCGCTCACGGGTTTCCACGGTCGGTCCTGCGTTGCCCGCATCCAGTGGCCTAATTCACGTATTTTGACACAGTCAAAATCTCGTTGACGTTTAGAAGTCGCCCTATTGAAAAACAGTTCTGGATCCGTATTCACAAGGGCTATTTCAATAGAACGATTAATCGATAGAATCGCAAGTATCGCAAGTTCGCAACTGAGCGATTTGTTGTCGTTGAAGTTTTGTTACGTGAATAAGGCTACATGTGCTTCCTGCGACCTTCTTTGGTCCACTGAGTGCGATAGAAGTAGGCCTAATGTTAGATGTGCAATCCAGGGTTATTGCAAAGAAACAGTTTTGGGATGATGAGAATATTTAGCCTCAAATTTATGACTAACGAAAACACAACTTCAGTTAATACCTACTTATCAATCGGCCGACCACCGCAGGCAAGCTGGGCACCACTGATATGTAATCATTGCTATTAATAGTACTGGCGAGCGAGTCGCGACAATCCTACCAGATAAGTACAATGCTAAACAATGTAACCTTGTTGGTGATCAAATAAATAAGGAGGAATATAAGGAAGGACTTAAATAAACCAGGCCTACTTTTTGCATTGATCCAGCATGACAAATTATGGCTTAAAATACCTAAGTAGGTAGGTACTACGCGAACTACGTTAAACACAAAGTAAGCTAAAAAAGGGTNCTAAAAAAGCTGTAGATATAGCTGAACGCAACATTCATTTTAGTCTGGTTTAAGTATTTATGAAATACCTACTTACTATAGGCTAGCATATTATGGTTAGCCAATCTGAAAATGATACTTGGGTACGCAGCTTCATTTCTTGAAAAATTGGCGCTGTCAATACCGATAGGGTCTACTGTCACATACGTGGCAACAAACAAATAACCTCCTCCTTTTTTGAAGTCGGTTAAATCGTCGCTTGCCTCTATTTAACTGACGTATCTGAACATTTTTTTCGAAACTGAGTTATCTACACCATCTTAATCAATTTCGCAAGACGAATCGATCTGTCTAATCGCCTGAAAATTTTGCAAAATGTCAGTTACGTCAGTTAGAGGCAAGCGACGAAAATATATGAATTGGTTCCTGACTGGGATCAGAGTGTAAATTTCATTTATTTTCCAGTACCAGAATATCCTTCAAGAGCAGTACGGGTTTGACCCGTTAAGCCCGCTCATTCCGGAAACCATAAACCAACTGAAGGAACTACGGAAAGTGTTGTGCAACACTTCACCGAAAGTAAATAGTTCGCAATATACGTCGGACAAAAAAGTATCAGCGCCAGACTTCGAAGAAACCACAGAGGGATCCCAGTGGCAAAATATCGATAATGCTGATGAAATTGATAAGTACATAAGCCAAGATAAAGGTGAGCGAGAGTCAATAGTCTACGTGATAAGATAAAGGTTTATAGATACAAGTCCTGGAATCGTTTTGCATAAAACTTTGTTTGCTTTGTTTGGCAATATTTTTTATCGATTAAAATAGCTTATATTTCTTTTCAATGACTTAATTATTTGTATTATTCTTAATTTTCTCTCACATGACTTAAATGGATTTTACAGATAAATTGGACTCCGGCCTGTACCTCGCAGAAAACATCCACATCAGTGAAATTCCGAGAATCAAAATTATCGCGAAAAAGTTTTCTCGATTCAAAAAGAACAATGTCGAGTTGAGAAAACTCGATGAGAAAGTGGTTTGCGTGGAATATGACGTATACCTAGGAGATTGTCTGCAGCCCAGGGAGAAACTCCGAGCATTCTTTTCTATTAAACCTACGTACGGAAATGAAAATCAAGGAGAAGGTAAATGCACCTATGCGCTACGTCTATGCGTCTTGACACCCACATTTTTTTCTAATTAACTTGAAATCGATTTCATTAGGTAGGAAAGGAAGTAGATCCTCAGAAGTTTTGTCACACTGGACAATTTTGTTCATAACATTATGATGTGGCTGTGTTCACTTTGACCTGACCGCAGATCGCTCCAGTGTGACAAATCCTTTACTTCACATCTTTGGTAAAAGAATTGACCTTAATCGGTAACATTATATTTCCAGAAAGCGTAACTTTCAGCCAATTGCCCAAAAAAGTTAAGAACAACTTCAACATCTCCAACGAAGACCTGAAAAAACTTAACGAGAAAGAGATAGAAATTATAGATGGTAAGATCACAGAAAACAAGACCTATCTGGAGGACCTCAAGAGAATCCTGAGGAGGAAGCAAGCGATTTACGCCAAGAAGAATAAAACTACATTGGATTTATTGTCGCTGTATGAAATGGCGAAGAGAGAAAGCCCTCCTCTAGATGATGAGTTCTCCAATACAAATTTTCTATCAAAAGCAGAATTGCAAGAGATGAAGGATTTGATACTGAGAAAATGTGCGTCTAGCGTTCATGGCGTTAGTAGAAGGACCGTGAAGAAGTCCCCTGAAGAATCTAACGATATGGGGGTCATATCGCAAAGCATCATGGCAGAGGTGTGGCGGGAAAGCAACATAGAATATAAATAAATTGCGTGTTTTCTGTTTAAGTATGTTTAATTTTTGATAACAAAATGAGAAACAATTTAACGATAAGTATAATCACATTCATTGAGCTGCCTTATTGATTATATTGATGGAAAATATGCTATGTTTAGATTGTGTCGTCGTCAATAGCACAATACTTTCCGAATATTTTTTTAATGAACAACAGATCTCTTGATATTCAATTCAAAAAAATAAAATTAAGTTAAATGGCACATTTATTTACATAGAGCTACAGCTTTCATCATAATATTACCAAGTATCAAAAATACATAGACTATAAAATAAATTTATGCTTATTTACCTATAAAATGTTCCGACAATTTAAGGTTCGGCCAAACCAACGCGATCACACCACACGCGATCAGCCGGCGTGCAGCGATGGCGACCAGACTTAAATGGATTGATCGCCATCGCTGCACGCCGGCTGATCGCGTGTGATCGCGTTGGTTTGGCTGAACCTTTAATGTATGGATGACGGAAACTTATTCTTGGACATTATACCTACATTAAGGCCCAGAGCAGACGGTGAAACGCAACTGCAACGAAACGACAACTTTCTGATGATTCTGATGAATGAAACTGAAAGTTTCAAACTGGTCGCATCATGTGTGGTCTCTCAACGGACGCTATGGCAGAAACTTAGATGCAACACAAAAGTAACTAGCAGTTGCAGTTTCGTTGCAGTTGCGTTTCACCGTCTGTTCTGGGCCTAATTGTGTTTATTGCGTCATTGTTTGTATCTGACGTTAAACACAAGTTTGAAGTGCCGTCATCTGTCCATCCATTGCTGTGGATCAGTTAATCTCGGTTCAAAGACTCGTGGCAGGCTGGCGGTGTAATAATAAAACAGTGCATATCACGTTTTCTCTCGCACTCACACTGGTTATGGATGACGTCACACGCACAGGCAGGCATAGAAAAACGCCGAAACGCCGCTAGTTTTATGTAATAACTAGCAGCTGCCCGCGACTTCGTACGCGTGGACTCCGGTTTACCCCTTAGGGGTTAAATTTTGCAAAATCCCGTCTTAGACGTTCTAAAAGGAACCCCCATGCAAAATTTGAGACTCCTAGCACAAAATATTGTGCTCCTGACGCACGACCGCTTATAGTTTCTGTGATTTCGTGATGAGTGAGTGAGTCAGTCAGTGACCTTTCGCTTTTGTGCCTTGATCACACGTACCGAGCAAACAGGCGAGACAGTGCTCTCGGCCGAGTACTCGGTGTGTATATGAACATTACGCCGAGTTCTCGGCCGAGCGCTCGAGTATGTGACTCGCTCACCCAACTGTCTCGACCGAGTAACATTTTACTGTCTCGCCAGTTTACTCGGTACGTGTGATCAAGGCTTTATAGATATTGGCGAGTGTCAAAAATTACTTATGGCCCCGCCTGCCACGGATCTTTGCGTCGAGTATAGTGGAGCGATTATGATCTCTAAGTATCTAAAACTTTAGCTAGTCACTTACATCTTTGGTTTTAGTAAAAAAATCTTGATTTTTGTCGTCTTGCATAGACGATAAATGGAAAATAAAAATACAATTGGGAACTTAACTTGAAAATGAATGTTGAATTGTGGATGTGCCAAGACTGCCAAGAGAATCGCTCCCCATGTGGCTGAAATGATGCGTCCGTCCTTAAAGTTGTCCGTTTTCACTTGTCTCCGGGTTGTGCGCGGGATCTAACCCCAGTTTCTTCATCTCCACTGCCATTTCAAAGAGATAGTCAAAGCACTCGGTCCTGTAACAGGTAACATACAACATGCTTTTCAATTCAGTTCGGTTTTGACAAAAATTACATAAGTGAGTGACCGGGAAGCTACATAGCATTTTTCGTGAAAAATACCTCAATGCCTCAAGACGAAAGTATATAAACCAGTGATGACATACCGTTCCTTAAATTTCAACACCACGAAACTACATTTTCGTAACTTTACAGGAGAAAAGAAAAAAATTCTTGTTTATAATAAACTAGCGGCCGCCCGCGACTTCGTACGTGTGGATCCCGTTTTACCCCCTTCATCTATCTTACGCGGTTTAGATTTTTTCATACAAATGTTTTTTCCCGCTAACTCCCGTTCTCGTGGGCTCTATGTCACTCGGCGCTATGTTCATACGCACCGAGTACTCGGCCGAGAGCACTGTCTCGCCCGTTTGCTCGGTACGTGTGATAAAAGCATTACTTAAACACTGGATGTACCTTTCGAAATTTTCAAGTATAATACGCTGTTATAGCCGCGTTTTTATTTCATCAATGTCGTGGGTTAAGCCTTGATCACACGTACCGAGTAAACGGGCGAGACAGTAAAATGTTTACTCGGTCGAGACAGTGTGTAAGCGAGTAGCTGTTCATACGTGTTTTGAAATTAGCACAGTCAGTTCAGTTCTATAGAGACTTTTTTTTTTCTCTAATCTGTGGACGTGACGTCAATCATTTGGCTGAGTGGCGAGTGGCGAGACAGTGCACGTTCAGACCTGCCGAGCGAGCGAGCGAGACAGTGCGGGGCAGCGGGAGCGTGGATACTCGGCCTAGTAAGTTGAACGGGAGTCGAGCTACTGTCTCGTCGCTTTGCTCGGCCGAGCACTCGGCGTAATGTTCACACACACCGAGTACTCGGCCGAGAGCACTGTCTCGCCCGTTTGCTCGGTACGTGTGATAAAAGCATTACTTAAACACTGGATGTACCTTTCGAAATTTTCAAGTGTAATACGCTGTTATAGCCGCGTTTTTATTTCATCAATGTCGTGGGTTAGGCCCAGAACAGACGGTGAAACGCAACTGCAACGAAATTGCAACTTTCTGATGATTCTTATGAATGAAACTGAAACTGAAAGTTTCAAACTAGTCGCGTCATGTGTGGTCTCTCAACGGAGGCTATGGCAGAAACTTAGATGCAACTCAAAAGTAACTAGCAGTTGCAGTTTCGTTGCAGTTGCGTTTCACCGTCTGTTCTGGGCCTTAGAGTCCCGCCTTAGGTAGTTCGATTTTTAAATTTATGCTTACATCGTCTTCGCTTGCTGCCACGTGTCACCCCACACGTAGACACCGTGTCTCCGAAAACCTAGGAGAGTCTTTATGGGCAACTAATGAAGCCATTAAATCACTAAAATCTTTAGTAGGAATTATTTCCGATTTAATTCATTTTTGTGTTTAATTCTACTGGCCTATACGCTGATAGCCGCGTTTTTATTTCATCAATGTCGTGGGTTAGAGAGTCCCGCCTTAGGTAGTTAGATTTTTAAAAGACAATGCCGGAAATTGGCGTCTTTTACACATACAATGTCCCTATTTTGTTGCAATTTCTTACAAAACTTTGCGCGCAAAAAGCAAATCTAGTATGAAAATCATCAAACTTCTAATGCTCGTAACTCAGTTCAGACTGAGTTTAGAGGTATACATGCCATAGTGAGTTTGGTTTATTACACTATTTTGTAATCAAAAAACAAAGTTTGGTCGATGGCCGCGCGAAAAAAAAAAAAAAACGACGCCAATTTCCGGCATTGTCTTTTATGCTTACATGGTCTTCGCTTGCTGCCACGTGTCACCCCATACGTAGACACCGTGTCTCCGCACCAGTACCGCGCTGGTACTAGGGTACCGTTGTAAGGCGTCGCCCAAGCTGCCGGCTAGGTCTCGCTCGAAGGGCGTGTTTTCAATTATTGGCACCACGAGTTTCTCGTCGTAACGGAGGTAGCGACCGAGTTGTGCGTCCTTTATTCCCTATAACCACATTATAAATGTAATAGGGATGTTTCCTGGGTCAAAAAGCAAGAGTTTTAATTAGTCCGTCAGTTAACTTATCAAAAAATACTCTACACGTATTTTTCACTTTTTCAAACTAATGAAAATTTAAAGAGATAAAGCGCGCCAAAGTTCATAAGAAGAGGCCCGTGACGTCAATGCGTGCATAAAAGTGCCGCAAGTTGTGACGTCGTGCGGAACTTCAACGCACCATAACTATGTAGGTAATTATTTGTTAGATTGACAAATAAAAATATGTGTCCAATATTAAACATGACGGAATAAAAAATTTTTTTTAGGAAACTAGCCTATTGCGGCCGCCGACCGTTGAGTTCATAAAGTTAAGTATACAGGGTGTTAGGTAAATCTTCATTTTAATTATTTTAATTTTCATACAAATCGGATTTTATAAAAAATATTTTGTATGAAAATTAAAGAAATTAAAATGATGATATCGAATTTCTGACTTCACCATACCATTTATATGCCCATGTTAACATGGGGTAGTGTCTGCTCATATACCCATTTACCTAACACCCTGTATACCTAGTAGGTACCTTGATCATCTCTTGGTGCGTTATGGTGAACTCCTTGTCATAGAGTAGTGTGCAGCGTACGGCGTGCGGCGAATGCGTGTGGATGACGGCGCCCGCGCCTCGCTCGCGATACGCCAGCATAAAGAGAGGCGTGCACTGACTTTTCTTTAGCCTGGAAACAATTTAAAGGCCTATTCAGACCTAAGCGGTATTCGCTACCGTCTGCGGCAGAGAAAACCCAGTGGGTATGCGGTAATAATACTGTTCAGACCTAAGCGGTATTCGCTACCGTCTGCCATGTACCTCTACCCACAGCGGCAGCGAATATCGCTCAGGTCGCTCTAGCCGCGATACTTGATACTAAATACCTGAGCGAAACCCGCGCGGTATGTACCTCTACCCACAGCGGCAGCGAATATCGCTCAGGTTTGAATAGGCCTTAATGAGGGTTTTCGTGATTGAAAAATCCGCCAGATGACAATACGTAGACGCGAGGTCCAAATGCTGCGTGATTGGTGGATTTTGACATATCTGTCAATGTCATGTCAAAAATAACCAATCATGCAGCATTTGGACCTCGCGTCTACGTATTGCAATCTGGCGGATTTTTCAATAGCGAAAACCCTCATTTCCATGTTTGTTTACGAGATAGAATCGGAAACGAACCACTGACATAGCGGCAGGGATATAGAATGCAGAACTGGTTAAAAAAAGCAAGAATTTGAATTAGTCAGTTAACTTATCAAAAAATACTCGAGACGTATTTTTCACTTTTTCAAACTAATGAAAATTGAAAGAGATAAAGGGCGCCAAGTTCAAAGGATGCCCGTGACGTCAAGGCGTGCTCAAAAGTGTAGCACTTTGTGACGTCACGCGGAACTTTAACGCATCATAACTTCGTAATTACGTACTTGTTTGATTAACAAATAAAAATATGCGTGTCCAATATTTTTTGATAATGTCATTGACGGACTAAAAGTTTTTTTTTAGGAAACTAGCCTATTCGGTAACAACATCATAGACATTTTGCAATAAACTATTGACTAACTTTTTCTCTGCTGGTGGTAGCTCCAAATCTTCGTCGTTGATTGTCTGCACAAATAAATCATCACATTTCATGCGTTCTTTCTGTACTCCAGACGGTGCGATGTAGATCTTATCACTGCAAAATTAAAATTAAATTATTATCAAGGTGTCATATTTCTAGAGAAAGAGACAAACTTCATTTGAATTATTTACATTCCTCGGTACGCCATGTCTAAACTTTAAACATGAATTTGACATTGTTTAGTCCAGAGCCCCGATTACGGTAACTTTTATAGTTCCAAAATACTGGACTGTCCTGTCGATGACATTGACAGTGGGGCGCCACCGTCAATACCGGATCGCTGGTTCAGATTTTTGCCATGTTGGAAACCATATAGTTGAACGATGGTAGCGCCCCCCTGTCATTGAGTTTGGCGGGACAGTTCAGCGTGGGTCATCTATAACGTCTACAATCCAGACGCGTTTCTGATTCTGCAATACGATTGGTCAAAACAGCTGACGTACGCTGTTGAACGACCAATCGTATCGCAGAATCGAGAAGCGTGTCTGGATTGTTGACGTTAAAAATTACCGTAATCGGGGCTCAGGGCAGGGTTCGAAATTATCAAGATTATTACGCTTCATGATAATTATCAACAGTTTAAGATACATTTGTCATATTGTTTTAAATAAATGTTACTTTATGTTTTTGGTTGCTGATTGTTGTCAAGTTATCCATCGCTAATCGCATAAAGGTTGGAAAATAGATAAATATTTTGACGCTAGATGACTAGTGATCAGTGTGGAGCTAAATAGATAGGTTTTATAACTATCTATGTTGATTAACGCCCACCACTAGACGCAAGTGCGGAAATACACGTTCAAAAACTTTGAATACAGTTAATTTTCACGAGCGCATTTTTTTGTTATTATCAACCGATAATTATCCACCTGTTATTATCACGATAATTATCTTGATAATTATCCTTTCGAACCCTGGTCCAGGGCCTTCCTAACTATGCATTACGGTACCATCCAACAGATATTACTTATCCTTTGGCCAAAGTTTCCTGTATAGTATAATTTTGGGATGCCCAGCATACTATTTATGCAACAAAAAGCAGCTTTATACATTTCTCTATTAACAGCCAAGAATCTATTCGTCTGATTCGTAGTGCCTGAAGCACCAAATACCTAATTGTTTTACTAGGACAAAACGGGTATGATAGTCATGAAATGGCCTGAAGACTGGACCGCTGGATAGAATAGAAACGACAACAAAAGCAGATTTAGATTTGTAGCTAAGAGACAAGTATCAAGACAGGTACTTAAGTAACAGGGTTCGAAAGGATAATTATCAAGATAATTATCGTGATAATAACAAAAAAATGCATTCGTAAAAGTGAACTGTATTCGAAGTTTTCAAACTCGTGTGGACTGTGGTGGACGTTATTTAACATAGATAGTTCTAAAACCTATCTATTTAGCTCCATAACGATCACTCGTTAACTAGCGTCAAAATATTTATCTATTTTTCACAACGCTTCATGCGACTAGCGATGGATAACTTAACAACAATCAGTAACCAAAAACATAACGCAATATTCTCAATGTAACATCACAATTTCTTATGAAACAATATGACAAATGTATCTTACACTGTTGATAATTATCCGATAATTATCTGATAATTATCACGAAACGTAATAATCTTGATAATTTCGAACCCTGTTAAGTAAGTTATAACAACAAAAAATAATAGCATCAAAATAATGGTGCAATTATGATTCAGTAACTGCACAAGGCTAACTTCTTGTATTGCATTGCCTCAGTAAAAATTATGAGTCTTCTAACAACTTGGCCCACTTTTAGTTTGGTACACGGGCCAAGCTTCTGGATTGAATTTTTAAATATTATTTCTTCTGGCAACTGGGCCCACTCTAAGATTGTAGAGTACAATTCTATTGATTTAGTATTTAATTTATTAATAAAATGTTGAGTAATGACAACACTAAACATTAATTTATGGTTTAGAGTTTATAAAAGCTAGCTCTATGTCTATGGTCTCTCATGTCTATGGTCTCTCTGTGGAAAAATGGCCGACTGAAAAGTTTTGTTTTGATGTGCTCCGTTGTAATAATTATATTTTGCATGTGTAAGATTGCAATAAACAATCAAGTTGAAGATAATCATGGCGCTTTATTAATTAAACCCCATAACAACAATATAAAACATTGAAGGTGGGCCCAGTTGCTGGATAAATATTAAAAATTCAATCCGCCAACTTAGCCAATGAACCAAACTAAAAGTATGCCAAATTGTTGGATGACTAAATTATTATAGGGATGTTTAAGAAATTTACCCTTCTTTAATTGATATCCCTCCTCCAGTGCCTGTAACCCATCCGAGGTGATAGAACTGTCTGCACAGCTCCGGAATCAAATTTCTCGGGTGCTCCTGTGATTCAAAATATTTAATTATACAGTATATAATTCCAATAATAATTGTACAAAGAAGAGAAGCATGATTTGTGGTATAATTTAACTTTTTTTCTCTTATGGCAAAGGACTTATGAGGAGCTAGATTTTTTTTATTTACTATATCCTAAACAAGATTATACCAAGCCTTTGAAATAGTGCCCAAAAGGCTAAGATATAAATGTGAAAGTTTGTAAGAATGGATGTATGGATGTTTGTTACTCTTTTACCATACCCGGATGAGATAGCAGATATCACGCTCCAAAGAATCTGGAAATTTATAGACCCAACGGGACTAAGCAGTGAACTCTAAAGACAAGGGCTGCCACAATAGATCAAACCTGGTCGAGCTGGCGCAAATGAAGGCCCAAAAAAAAAAAAAAGTATATAAGTAGTATATCCGTTAAGCTAGCACCCATAACACAAGCATTAAGTTGCTTACTTTGGGGCTAGCTGGCGCTGTGTGATAAAAAAAAAAGCCAATAAAAATAATAAATACCTACTCTTATACAAAATACTTACTTGAAAAGCACAATAAGAGTAAAATGATGCTATTACTTACATATTATTAATATTATGTTTTTAATAGCATGTTTAATATTATTTAATAAAATTCTTTAACTCAGCTCACTTCTGACCCTGCTCTGGGCTGGTAGGTATGTTCTAAAACATTTACGGGCATTGCGAAGTGAATGGTTTTACATAAGTGTTTGTGATAAATCTGATGAGATTGTAGGTTCATTCTGAAGAAATCGGCATGTATCTAAAATTGCCGCTATTTGCATTGTAATGTATGTGGGGTCTTATTAATATTATTATTCTGTTTAGTGGCTTCAATAGTACGTATTTGAAGCCCACTGGTAAGCTAATGTAGAGTGTATAAAGAGATATTGTGGTTCTACTAAGCGATGTTTATGAAAACTTCCAAGGTAGATATTTATTTACTTACTGGTCCAAGGTCTGACATGTTTAAAAGAAAATCGAAGGGCACTTTTAGTACTGTGGAATTATGGTGTAAGAAATGAAAATGTAAATTAAAAACTTAAAATAATGCTTATCGCGAAATTCTTATCAGTTTTCCTGTTTTGTTGTTTCTATAAAAATATTTTACCGAATGTCAAATGGCTGTCAAAAGTTCTATTTTAACGTTCAACTGTCTCTCATCGAGCTAGAACTGGATTAATGGAGAGGTCATAATATTTTTTGATGAAACGATTTTATTTTTAGTTTTATTCATAGAGGTGTTATTGTTAATAATTATATTTGGTTAGGTAGGTAATTACTCCCCACGCTGGCCAGACGGGTTAGAGGAGGTTATAATAGTATAATTTAAGTAGGTATGTAGCAAAAAAAGGTGCCTTAAGTCTCCTTTTACGATATATCAATATCATTTATGTGAAAAGTGGGAGTATTCCGCTCTGCCCTTTACCACCACCACCACCACCTTTAGTGAGCTGCCACACGCGGCATGTCCGCTGCGTGGCCGCTCCGCTTTGAAAACGTTTGTAATCCGCCAGGTGGCAGGTCATTACTCTGCCAGAACCACACGTCCTTTAATACATTTTTTTCTGTACTGAGGGTTCTGGCTGATTTAAAAAAACTGAGATAGCTCTGAAAGAAAAAAACTAAGCCCAAAATAACTGTCAAAAATTTTAGCATGCCAAAATTGTAGCGTTAGGGAAAATAAATTTTAAAATTACTGCCGTGACTACATACCATGACAAGGATAAAATAATAAACAATTTTAATTAACCAATCACTTAGGTTTATTTGGCATTAATAGTTTTTTGTTAAATAGGTAAGTCTAATTTAGTTTGGAATCATGCTCAGGTTTCCAGCAAGACCTCCTAAATGGTCACCTCGTATTGCCTGTTTATGCCGTAATAGGTACATAACTGTTAACTACGTAAACTTTTCTGACTTCTTACTGCAAGGTGTCCGAGGGCAAGATGCGCGAAATACCAGACTGCTTGAACAGGCGTTACCAGGCTTTGGATGAGCTCATCAGAGAGCTGTCCTCTCTATCCAGCCCAGGGTCAGAGGAGGAGGTCGGCGAGCCAGGCAATGAGGCCGGCATCAAACTCATGTGCGACTTCTGGAACATTCTGAAGGAAGACCCCGATTGTAACTTGACGGTGAGAAATTAACAAGTTAGGTATAAAGATAACTTCTTACAAACAAGTCATTTTCACCCTAAAAATAAGCCTATTTCGCACTGTATTAATCGATTTCTTTATGACCTACATGACTTTTTTTCTATAATTATTTTACTTTCTAGAGCAGATATCTAGAAAACTATACAAGGTATAGAAAATCTTGATTAACTTGTAGCAAATAATCAGTTTTTTTATCAGTGATCATGTTTCGAGGGTGAATAGTTTTCGAGATATAAGCGAAATCCAAAAAAATAGGACCTTCAAACACCTATCACTTTTTACTAGTCTGATGTAGGTACGAAGACGAAGGTGCGCACAGTAAGACAATTAAAAAAAAATTGTACTTTAGCAAGCAGTCCGTCAACGCATGGGATTGAGCGCAAAGCCCAGTCGGAATTTTCGGCCGCAGCACGTGACGTGCTACATGGCTTGTAGCAACAACAGCAATGAAAGCAGCAGGAAGAAACAGTAAGTCTGTTCATCACATCATTCACATACCCACAGAGCACAGACTGCGTAAGTAGCTGCGCAAGCAAACCTGAAACACAATATACAGGGTGGAATTTTGTAATGCCACCTGGAGGGAAAGTACTGTAAATAGAAAAAAATTCTCAAAGAAAACATTCCTTTATTTTGCTCCAGGTGGCATTACAAAATTCCACCCTGTATACCATAGTGTAAAAAATTGTTCTTACTTTAGTTCTTTTCAGCCAAATGACGTCAATTACTGAACAAAGGCCTCCCCCAAGGATTTCCAAAACAAACGGTCCTGCGCCGCCCGCATCCAGGTACCTCCCACGACCTTCACCAGATCGTCGGTCCACCTAGTGGAGGGCTTGCCCACACTATGGCCCGTGGTCATCACTCCAGAATTTATTCTGCCCCAGCGGCCATCAGCTCTGCGAGCCATGTGCCCCGGCCACTGCCACTTGATTTTAGCAAAACATATCGCCCCCAAAAGATAAATTAATATAAGAAAGGACCTAAAAAGATGCAGTCACTTGATTGATTTGATTCTGCTCAACAACCACCAACAGTTCTACGAGCTACGACTTATCTTGTATGGAATTCTGTACCACGAGATCTTACGAATATCTATATGCTTACCTGCGTATACCTAAGTTATGCTACTTATCTAAAGGTCAGGTGTTAAATTAAATGAAATTATCATATTTTAATTATAGTACGTGTGACAAAAGTCCAGAACAGAAGTCTCCAGAAGCCAGAGGTACATGCTGCAGCTCAAAATCAGTTTCACCTAAATCTACAACTGAAGCTCTGCCCTTGAGTAAAGTTTTATGTAATCTAAAAGAGGTAAGTATTTAATGTAGCATTTAATTTAATACTGCAAATACCTAAATAACATTTCCATCGTGTGTCATTTTCTGAATTTACTTTATAGACTTTCTTAATTAATGTTATTTAGACACTTTACTAATGGTTAAAATTGATCTATATCCATTAACAGTAAACAACAAATTACATATAACGTAAATGAAGTGTATTCTCTATTTTTTGTATATTATTCAAAAAAATACAGTAAGTACCTACCTACCATAATGTTAATCTATAATTTTAAACTTCTTAACCATAATACAGGCTGTGTCGTTCGACAAGAAATGCAATATCAGAATAGGCGAGCTGATGTTAGCTGAAAAGCAGTTGCAAGACCAAATTCAACACTTGGAACACAGAGAAAAAGAAGGCATTCAGATGTTGAAGCAGGCTGACTGCATGTGGTCATGCATGGAAGAAGCGTACAAGAAAAAAGTGGCAGAATCTTTGGAAAGACAGGGTGTTCTTTTGAAGCAGGTATCTTAATTATTATTTATTTAAAACATGTTAAAGTATAGTCCTAAAAATTTTAAGTGCTCTTGAAGTACAATCACACCTGAAAGTACAAATTAATGCGATCCAAATTAAGCAAAGATGCCTATTCACTTACAACTCGTACGTAAAAAATTGGGAACACTGACGTAAAATTCAAATTGTAAATAGTCCCCCTAGACAAAACGCACTTTTTGATCGAATCGAAAATCGAATCCGTCAAAACTCCATACAAAAAAGGGGCTTTTCGACCACTTTTCGACTGGTTTGCGATTATAATTTGCACTTTGTCTAGACCCATAGAAATGGCAAAGAAAGTAAATTGTCAGTTAAGTGTCGCGTGCAACGGTTCATTAAAGGTTTCTATCTATTTTATTATTAATATCAGTTTTTTCTTTCTCTCATTTTAGATGAAAGAAGTAGAAACCAGTAACACGAAATGGCGTAAGAACAAAAAAGACTTAGAATTTCAATTAAACAATGTTAATAAGTGCTACCAAGAGATTACAGAGAGAATTTACGAAAAAACTAATGACGTCAATTGCATCAAGATGGAAATAGAGAATTTCAAAAAAAGGATAGAGAGCAATAAAAAAGATACAGCCGCCGTTAAGAAATCGTTTAGTAACAAGAAAACTGCTTCTGACGTAAGCTTATTTTGTAGTATAAGTAATTTAACTAATAATTTAAATGTTCTAGCACTGTTTGCTTTTCAACAATAATTATTTAGAATAGCAAATTTTTTTTAAATCGAATTTTAGGCCAAAGTGGCAAGCCTAGCTGCAGAAATGACAAGACTGAAACAGGCCATCGCGGAAGAAAACTATCACAAGCATGAAAAAGAAGAAGAAGGCAACCAATACGTAAAGGAAGCAAGGGACGACTTGCAAAAAATTTGCAAAGTTCTATTGCAAAAGAAGCTGGAAAATGAAGATCTAAAAGCAGAGGTGAGATAATTATTTTATTCTTATTATTGTAACAAGACTGTGCACTGGTTTCAATGTCAACAATTTTATTTTTAGAAAGAAGCACTATTACAAGAAATAGAATTGCTTAAAAAAACTTGCGATCAATGTCGGGAAAAATGTCAAAATAAACAACAAGCTATTATAGACGAAATTGCTAAGATTGATAATGAAATAGCTGGATTCAAAGTGAGATGCATAAGATGTCATGAGTGTACTGACACTGCCGACGTTAGGAAATTTTGTACCGACTGCCCTCGATGCGCCGAAGAAAGAGACTGTTTATATGAAGATGGTCATTGCTTCCCGGACAGCGCTATGGATTGTGTGTGTATGAGTACAAAACAGAAATTTTTAGATAATGTTTTCGATAATATGTACACGGTTCTAGAGAGACAAGCTAAAACGTGCCCTGGCAAAGCAGTTGCCGAACAAGTACTAAATTGTTTAAAGAAAAGTAGAAATGGGAAGTTGAACGAAGAAACAAGGAAGATTTTGCAGGATTTCGTCCTTACTACTGTTAAGAAGAATTTAAATTTGACTATTATTGGAGGTGCTGTGAAGACTCGTTGTGAGGTAAATATTTATTTAAAAATATTTTTAAGGATAGCACAGTTCTATTGTATTATTTTATTTGAATATAAACCCACTATTTTGTTTTTAGATGGACCCAGAGACTTATAAACAGTTAATGCTATGTTTGAAACAAGTTAAGACAGTAAAGGCACCAAAAGTTGATAAAGGAACGGCTGCCAAAAAGGTAGATCTTGCTTTAATTAATGAATGTGAACATTAAAGGTTTTGCAAGTATATACTCTTAATTTATTGTACCAAATTTTTACAGGATCCATGCCGCCGATGGGGAGGCGCCAGCGAGTGTAATTGCCCGAAGGGTCCTAAAGCCTGTATCTGTACTAAAAAAGCACCCCCACCTCCAAATGATCCTGAACCGTGCCCACCACAGCAGGATAAAGAAGATGCTGTGAGTTTGATGTTAACAATACAGCAGTAGTGCATTTAATAGTTTCACATTTCATGGATGCGTTTTAGTGATGATTGACTCAGCTAATCCATACAAGATCCAAAAGCATCTATCTTTTTATTTCCAGCCAGTAACATACATTAATTTCTGATTTACAGGGTGAAGTGATGGTTTGCCCTCACAGAGAGTCGGCCTCATGCGGTCCAGACTGTGCGTTGCACGCGGTCCCCAGCGTAGGCACAGAAGTTGCGGCATGGAGACCAGCTCCTTGCGACGAGAAGCAGTGCCAGTTCTCCAAGAATATGAGGGCGGCACAGTGCGTACTTGGACCCGACTCACTCTCATCAGTATCCAAATCTAAAGGCTACGTCGCGGCCACTCCACATATGCCGGACATATCTGAGCTTGAAGATCAGGTATCTATGTTCATTCGTAAAGTTTTAAATTTATTTATACTTGAATTAGTTTTTTTTTAATTTGTTTCTCATCATTGCTTTTTGATGACGTTATTAGTGTATAATCTTCTCTCTCACATTTTTTTAGATTACTTGCAAATGTGGATCTGCAGCTGCTAAGCCATGTTCGTGTCGTAAAGGTAAGAAATAGTATTTTATTTCACTATTTATGTGGGAGTACAACTCATCTTAGAACACCATCGTCATAACATTTTCATCGTTCTAGAACTAAAAAGCCACCCTCGTGAAAGAATAATTGAGGAAGTCATGGGAAGATATACGGATGTGACACCTATAGAGAAAGTGAGTTATGCAATTCTAAGTGATGAGTCTATCAATATTGTACAGCGCAACTATTGAATTCAACATCTAATTTACGTTTATCAAATAGGTGATAAATTTATTGTTTTAACTGTTTTGAATGTGATACTTATGTCAAATAAACCTAACACAAAACATGGTGGTTTTATTTATCTGCTCCCTAGAACCACCATGTCCACCATAAATGCTACAGAAATTGCATCTAAAACTCAATATTTCATCTTAGGTAACAAGTGTGGGTGAAGACAACAGTGCCGATTTAAATGAGGGAAGATACAAATACAGATGTTGTGATTTTTATGATTTTCCAAACAAACGATTATTATTAAAGAATAAAACGTCTGAAAATAAAATGACCTCAATATGCCCCTGTATTTCATCAGATTTTCTTCCACGAAATAATAAAAAACACTGCAGACGATTATGTCAAAGAAAATCAGTTTGTATTTATAGAAGAAACAAGGACTTAACATTTGCTCCGTCTAAAGATGATTTCTCTGAAAGATGTAAATTTCAATGTTCCAAGACGTATGTTACTGGTGTAAAAGATGGCATAGAAATAGCTGCAGTAACATGTCCCAAACATGGAACATTTAAAACAATGGAGAAGTCTATTGGTAGTAATAATGTTACAAAATCATTTGAAATGGAATCAATAAATACATCTAAATGTGTGTTATTAACAGAGGAAGAATCTGATAGAGAGAAAAGTATTCAAAACTCTGGTGTTACCCTCTTTGGAAGAATAGTTTGCGACACGGTCAAAGATTTAATAAAAGATTTAATTGTGTCTGACACAACGAAAACCAGGAATTATTCTTTACCTTCAGATGTCGAATGGGTAACCATTGAGTCTTTTTTGAAAGAAATATCTTCTCGGGCTGTGTCTCATAATAACAGCAGTACAACTATGAACGAAATTGAAATAGCTAGCGAACTTCTTAGTGATACTAACACGAAACGGTTTAATAAGGAGAAGATAATCAGTATGCTTATTTTATCGCAGTCTAGAAGTAACATAAATAAATGTTTAACATCTGTGAAAGATAATTTGCCAAAAGTAATTAATTACCTGTTTGTCAGTGAATCTTACGGAGATAGTCCATTGATAAGCAACGTCAGCAGCAATGAATCAAATGTCAAATCAAATATTTTAGAAGTTCATTCTCACAGCAAGTTAGAAGATCATTCTCATGGCGATTTGTGAAAATCTACCTCAACTGAAATATTAAGAATAGTTGAGATGATAAAAAGAGGAAGAAGAATGTTACTTATTGTACTGTATGTTAATACATATTTATTTATGATGTTATGAAAGTTTATAATACGTAAGATTTATTTACATTGGTTCTACTTTCAGCTGTTTTGTACTTCCACATAATTTTTGGTTTAGCTTATCTATAACATTGTTGGACAAATAATATTGAAAGAGAATAATTTATTTACAGATAAAAAACATCTGAAAGTAGAAGCTGAACATTGTGAACAGGGTACCTGCGCTTTGATTTGCGAAAAAGCTAAAGAAGAATTTAATAAAGCAGAAAAAGAGTCTATTCAAATATCATTAAAGTCCAAAGACAGTAAAGCAACAATTTCACAGAAAAGAAAAGAAGAATCTCTTCAAGAGAAAATAAAAATAAAAGATGTTTCTGGTAAAAAAATTGAAAATAAGGATGCCAAAATTAAGAAAATGCCCTCTAAACTCACAGAAAGTAAAAAAGCTTGCTTAGAAAATAAAAATGTTAAATTCGATGGTTCGCGTCCTGGATCAAAAGCTGGATCTGAAGCACAGAAATGCTCATGTGAAGACCATTTCAAAGTTACTATTGAAAATGATAGTGTTAATCATTTTACCAAACTTTCCAATACACCGTCTGGTTCTTTAGCAATGGAACTCGATGAAAAAATTATCAAGCAAATCGAACACAAAATGAAACACAGTAATAAAATAGCAGTATCTTTACAAAGAACTGCTTCAGGCCATTTAGTTGTAGATTTTAATCCTTCTAATGACCCATCAAGTAATAAACAAAAAATATCTGTCAAACGATCTTCATCTGGCTCTCTTGTATTTGAAGTAAACAAAAGTTTCGTCAGTATATTGAAACCCGATATCAAAATTGATAAAAGTAAATTAGATCTGGACAATAAGCCGTCAATTTTGGTATCTGTCACACCTAAAAAAGCTGAGAAAATAGCGACAGATGAAACCAGTCACAAGGCAGAAAAAATTGACACGAAACATGTATGTCAGGTTGCATCTGATATAAAACCAGAGTCATCAAAACCCAATACCAGATTACAACCTATAACTGATTATAATAGTACCAACGAAGCTATAATAAAAATCAAAGATATGAATGGAACCTTTACTACAACAAAAGCTAAATTGACTAACACAGATTCTGGAAATAAGGCTTTTATTATAAGCGACTCTGCAAGCATTGGAATATTCGGAGACATAATAGACAAATGTAAAGAACATCAAGTTTTACTAACCAAAACAAATTCAGGGTCATATTTATTAGATTTACAAAGCGTAGAAGTTAATGCTCTGATAAGAAAAACACAATCGGGTAAGTTATTAATTGTGAAAGTAGATCCAGTTGTAAAGTTTATGGAAACAAAGAAAACTTACTGTACAAAAAAAGGTGATGATATTTACAAAATAAGTGTCAAAAATTCCCAACAAAAAGTGGCAAATCCTCCAGTTGTACTAAAGTCAACGTCGTCAGATAATTACATTGTAGTGGTAGATAAAGAATATGAAACCCGATATAAGAAAACTGTAATGGACCATCTTGACTCAAATTACGAATGCCCTGTTGAATTAGTAAATACTGCGTCTGGGAATTATTTGGTAAACTTTGAAAATAGCGGTGAAATGTTTAACGCAAATGCACGCCTTGTGCGATCATCATCAGGAAATATTAAAATTCTTAGAACTACGGCGCAGTCGAATAGATTTTCAATGGATTCTAATACAAAATCGTTAACGTCTAAAGCAAGATCTTCATCAAAAATACTTGATGATTTGATTAATACATTGCAAATTCCTGATAAAGTTAAAACGACTGAAGAAAAACCACGATTACTGGAAACCAAATCCAGTAGTGATTCCAATCTGTATGAAAGAGTAAAAATAAGACTGCATAATCGTAAAGATTTGCTATCAGAACCTTCTGCTTTACTTAAAAAAACATCATCTGGACAATACGCTGTAGTGTTAAATAAAGAATCAAAGAAATCTTTCATCAATGATTTAAAGAGTTACTTGGCAAGCAACTCCCAGGGTATGATACCTATCAAAAGAACTGAATCAGGTGAAATAACTATTGTTTTGAACAACGACAATGTTTCAAAAGGTCAGTACGGGTCTTTGAAGATTACTCCTTCGGGAAATATTTATGTTTTAGTAGACGAGAAAGTTATCAAGACAATGGTAAAGACTGGTAAAAATGAAAATCCCACTAGTAGCGTTCGCAGTTCGAAAGATCAACAAGAGATTGACTTTAATCAGAATCCAGTGAACAAAAATATAACAACAACTTGCAACGCGTTTCCCGATAACTGCTCGTGTGATGCTTCCAAGTGTGTCTGTGCAGAGTTGTTGAAACATGGGGTTGATACTGTGAATTCCGATGGTCAAAGTCCTAAATGTTGCTTTAGGTTTTGTCAGCAGCAAGAAGACGATTTACATAGAAACCAGTTAAAATGTAAATTTAAATCCTGCAATTGTGGATTATGCCCTGAAAGTTGTGTTCCACGATTTGATGAAAAATCGCCTCATATAGTTATAAAACCCTGTTGTTGTAAGCCTGAGCCTCGTAAAGAGGTAAAATCAGACAGTAGATCTACGTATTACGTCACAGAAGAAGTGTGTCCGTTTCATAAGGATAGATATAACTCGGTATCTAACGAGCTTTTAGAAATATCAGGATTGTGCAACAAAAGTAATGAACGAGAACGTAAGAAAACAAATAATAAGGATGGTGAAGATGCATGTAAAAGCGGGGCTTCGAACAATGAAGATAGACCGATTTTTCATCAGTCAGACTTGGATTATTTGGACTTCCTCCCTCCGCAGTTGCCTCATTTCTTAAGAGATTTCAGATGCGCGTGAGTGTGTTTGTATGCCCTTGACATGGTGTGTGATCACGGGCATAAACAAAAAAATTTAACTTCGCAGTCGTGTTTTAAATTGTGGAAATAAATAAGTACCTATTATGTAAACTGTTTATTATTTCTTGTTAATTACAGCAATATTTTACACATTTACAATATTTTAGCTGTAAAGTTAATAAAAGTGGAGTGGTGTTACTTGTGAACACTTATAGAGACAAGTAAATTCGATCGAGTTAAAAATTTCATACTTTAAATAATTTATTTTACAAGTGTAAATAAATTGAAAAAATCGAATTGCCTAAGGTGGGAATCAAACCTGCGACCTTTTCGCTTTCCGAGTGATTGATCTCGAGATCTGAGCTACTTAGGTCGAAATTTTTAAAAATTAGTTAATTTAGTCATTAAAAATTAGTTTGAGATGCGACTCTAATAGAGTGTTCTACGAGGGGTGTTCATAAAGTAATGACTAATGACAATGTGATATTTCTAGCCATCACAAAAATCTAAAAAAATTGGGCAGGTAGCTTAATTCTTTACTAGAAACTGGTGAAAAATTCATTTAAGTTCATTCATCTGAACGCTACCAGAAGAATTAGGCTATCTGTCCATTTTTTTTCAGATTTTTGTGATGGCTAAAAATATCCCATTTTCATTACTTTCTCAACACCCCTCGTATGTTAATATTATGTCAATTATTATCTCAATGATGTTATTTGGCCGTAATGCCCTGTTGTGTGTGTATGGTTGCTACAGTTTGTACCAACCAAACGTCATCTCTAAGTTGTAAGCAATTTCAGTTTTCGCACGCACCACCCCTTTTCATAACCTGTGTCGGTTCCCATTTGGCAGTCGACAAACCTGGCCCACTGTACCATAGACTTATATTTGGAGATCTAAAGATAATCTAGAAGAGACACTGTTTAAACGTAATAATTTACGCAAGTAGGTTTTTAATAAGCACTTTTACACATCCCAGTTTTAACCCTACCACTG